AAGTGATAAGGCCATTTTATTTTTTGTAACTTCTGAGAAGCTATTTCATAAGGTTTTATAAACATTAAATTAGTTAGAATTGATTCCATTATGTTGTTATCAGAAAATTGAAAATATTTATGAACTAATAGTCAAAAGAAATTTCTATTTTAAGCCTAGTAATATTTACAGAAATTAAGTGGGTCAGCGTGCTCTAAGAGAAAAAATTGTAGTTATAAAATATCAAATTAATTATAAAAAATTAACACTAGAAAACTATGAATGATAATCAATATTTCTTTTGGCTTAAATGCATTTTACCACCCCATCGAGATTTTTCAAATTTTTTTTTTTAAATCAATTTAGTTTTTCATACCGACTAAGAATATATAAAAATTTTTTGTCGGCGAAGTCTAGTTTAAAAGTTATGAGCTTTCAAAGATTTCAATAATCATATACAAATTTTGTTATATACTGCTGTTTTTTTTTGATAATTTTCATTAATTAACTATAAAAAGTATTCTCGATGATGTAGTTACCGAGGAATAGTAAATTTAAGAGTATTTATGAGTACATTAAACGTGTTAAGGTAGTGTTGAAGTAAATAAATTTAATTTTTTTTGATCTATTTTTTCAATATTATATCACCATTTTAACATCAAGGTTTTATACTTGTTGGGTCACTGAGAATTTCAGTCGAATGGGTTTAAATAGGTTGGGTTTGGGCTTGACTTCTATCCTCTGGGGGTTTGGGGGCGTGAGCCCCCATCCCATGAGAGTCCCGAAGGGGCTCGAATCGGTCACCGGAGCCGGCAGGCGTAGGTGACCACAACTTATATTTAAATGGGTNTCCCATCCCATGAGAGTCCCAAAGGGGCTCGAATCGGTCACCGGAGCCGGCAGGCGTAGGTGACCACAACTTATATTTAAATGGGTTTGTATAACTCAACATTATAACATTAAGGTATTAGTAAGTATATTTTAATACCTCAACAACTTAACTAATATCAACAATATCTAATGTAATAGTATTTTTTTTTTTGTTTACAACAAGTGTTAATTGGTGTACATAATAAACAGTAAAAACTTTTATTTTATTGAATTAACAATTCTATGTAAAACACCACATCGTGGTCTTTTTTTTTTTTTTTGCTCAAATTGAATTAATTGAGTTTCTTGTTATTTTTATTTCGTATTGCGTAAATTTGATGTGCGTAGTTTTGAAAAAAAAATTTGGAAAATCCTTATTTTTAAAGATAATTTTGGTTTTAGGATTTTTAGAATGAGGATATTATGTAATAATTACGTCATTATAGTTTCACAATAGTATCATGAGAAAAAATCCCAAAAATTAACAAAAAAAAACAATTTTTGAGCTATTTTTAGTTTTTGACGTTTCAACTTTAAAAAGCTATAACTTTTGAACCAATTTTTTCCGACAATTTTTTCAAACACTTTTGAAAAAAGCATTGAAAAATACACGTTTAAAAAAAAAAAAAAATGAAAAAACTCGATGGGGTTTTGCAACCAAATGCATTTGTTCCTTTCTTTTTTATATTTCATAAGAAATATTATGGTATCGTTACGTGCTATAAAAAATGAAATGTGCATTTACATGTAGAATACAACACCGATTCAGTTGATATTTCATCAGCATTAAATTGCATTTAACGCTGAAAAGTTGTGAGCACATGCCACTGAATGGTAGATGACGTTTATCAATAGATGCATGTAAAATTATGACACAAGTTTGTTTACGTGTATCTGAAGGAAAATGTGGTAAGAATTATTGGGCGCAATGTTTTCATATTAACATGCAAAATAATTAGTAATTGATGACATGCGTATATACACATCCACGTACGTTCATTCATAAATATAACTGAGCATTTGATATTACAAAAAGAATGTGCATAATTGTGACTATAGTGGTTTCGTCAATTGTAACTGGAATGAGAGGGGAAAATTATGCGCAGTCCAAACATAACGCGAGTCTAAACCTAATCGAATAAATTCATACATCAATATAATTGCTAATAATATTTGTACATGTACAATGTTAATTGTCGAACATGGAATATTTGTCACTTTTTCTAGATCTAGTTTGTTGTGTTACATAAATATGTATCAAAAATTTTTAACTGATTTTACTATTTTGTTTGTTTAGTTAATTACACAGTTCACCAGACTAGATGACTGACGTGTTTATTTTCGCTTTTTTAATTTAAAGGTTCATAAGTCAAAATACTAATAATAAGAATGTGCTGGGAATTTCCATTAGCTCATCCGATCTTCTTATTATATTACAGACCAATTATCACTGTTTATATTTATTTTTCCATTTTTATATCATTTTAAGGATTAAATTTATAATATACATCGATCAAGTATATTATTAACGTTATTTTATCTTAAATAAATGTAATAAAAATTTCATTTTTATTTTTATAAACAATACATACAGAAATAAAACCCAGTTATAGATTTGGCAAGAACACCGTTTAGGATTGAAGGTTATTAAAGATATGCGGTTAGACATTTATGTAATAAATTATAGCTTGATTGATTTTATGTAATAAGTAAATTAATTGATTTAACATTACAAACATGTTAGTTCTTCACTATTTGATTCACAAGAATTTTTTGCGTAAATAAAGGTCTCGAATATTAAAATATTTTATTTATATGTAAATATGAATTTGTATTATTTCTAAATAAAAAACTTATTCCAAAAATTATTTTAATGCTTTTATTTTTTGCTCGTGTTATCAAGTACGTTTACAGAAGTTAAATACTTACTATGGGTAACAAATTTATCTAAATAAAATATAATTCGTAATACATCAAAATTTTTTTATAAAATGAAGTTTTTTCATTCATAAAGCTTATCTTTGTAACTGTAATGCATCGCACAAGGTTTTCTGAGTTAATTTCTTACAACATTTTCTATCTTAATATCTCTTCAGGGGAAGTGTATAGGCAACAAAAATAGTAATTTAAGATAAACCAAAGTTATTTATTTTATATTACTTATTTTTCTATTTTAAGTATCAAAAAAGAATTTCTTAGGAAAATGTACATAAAACTCAAATTGAAACGTACAAATTTATTTATAATAAATAAAGTAAAATGAGAAAATTTATTTTTATCAGCGATTGCCCATTGTTGGGTATTAGTTTTTGACACTTATCATTTGAAATAACAATTCAGTGATGCGATACTTATATCATATTATCGTAGAATCACAATTAAGGGGCTAGTTGCAAGATGGGCATTTCCTAAAAATAATATTTATTAAATAAAATAAGATTTTCTCAAAAATGAACTTTTAATAAGAACACTTTTCTATCGTCATTTTAGTATTAAAATAACTATTGAAACTTTAAAACTAATTTACTGAAAATATATTTTTCTGGGAAGTACCGTAATACACAATTTTTTTTTCAATATACTGTAATTTGCATATTTTTATTTGTTATACAAATTTTGTGAGCTCAAATTAATGATTAAATTTTAAAAAAATATGTTAATTTGCATGTTTTTGTAATTTTAATAATTACCTTTTTAGATTATTATTCTGATTTTTACTATTTTTAATAATAATAAATAGGGGAAAAGAGTTTTTTCCTTACGTTAATTTATATTATCAAATAAGTAAGAATAGTAAATAATATTATAAGATTTCTATTATACAGATGAAAAATTAAAAATTGTTTTCATTTTTGATTAATTGTGCCAACATCTTCCATTACTTATTCTAATTAACAACAAACATTTTCCACTACTTATATCGCCGTCGTGAACTCATTACAACTCATGGACATTTTTTTACAATTATATTTGTTTTTTGTTGAACAATTCACTATTTTTCTGGTTAATCAAGACTAGTGAAGACATAGTTTTCAATGGAACTTTCAATACCGTCTCAATAAGCGCGGATCAAATAATAATTGATGTGGTAATCTAGATAGAGAAGATTTACAAACGTTTGACGCATTGGACTAGACTTCTACGTCATCGTTGTGCTACGAGAAATATCCTCCTGAATCCCTTTGGTTAAGATCTTGCACTCTCGTGGATTATTTGATAACTGAACATATGATAGTCGTTAATACACTTTTGTACTACAGGAATGATTTGGAAAATGCAATTTTAGATAGTGCTGTTATAAAACGTGTCCAAAAGTTTATGGTCGTCTAAGCTGCTGCCAAGTTGATACATTTGCTTTTAGTGTTTAGATTAGTTTGATAGAAATTTCAGCCAAGATATGCTATTATGCTAGTTTTAATAAAAAAATACTATTAAATTGAATGAAGGAACGTAAAATTGAATGTATTAAATATTGGATTAAATTGAAAAAAATTGACATATACCATTTACTTTTGCGATCAATTTTATAAACTTTTGACAACTCGACTCCCCAATTTTTTCTACTATATTTTCCACTTTTCCTGTACAAATATCAAACTTACAAACATATTCTAATGCATCTGTTCTTGTCCATACCTTATATCTTCTTTTGTTAAGTATGTATTGTTTAATACTGGACCTACCTTCGAATGCTATCATTAACTCATCAATTAATTACTTTAGTAGGGTTGTAGTAAGATTGAAATGTTTTAGCTGAATTGTTTAGTAATGATCTTACATTGGATGATTTATTATAGCCTGGATCACCACGTCTTTTTTGAACTGTATTAACATTTATATGCAAATTTGACAAAATCCAACCTAATTTATTGACGGCATAACTTTAGAAATGTTAGGGTCTTTAATTTCTTAAATTAAACTCCAATAATCCCTATACCTTGGTAGTTTTTTAATATCTATTAGTGTATTAATGCCTAAAAACTGTTTCATTTTTTCAAAAAGATATTGGTTTATTATTAACTCCTAAATTCTGTGTTATGTATAAATTTGTCTGTGAAACTATTTCAAGTATTTCTTGTTCAAATATTTGTTGAAATGAAGTGTAACGATCTATTAAATTTTTAATAAAAGATTGAGTTAGTCTAACAGGCTCACAAAATAAATCATTTTTTACTTTAAGTATGAAATAACTATTCTATGAAAAATCTTGTTTGTGAATTCTTGATGTCAAACTTTCTTCATCAGGTTCGTCTTCAGAAACAACAATGTTAGCTTTGTTAAAAACATATTCCATAATAATACCATCAATAACTATACCAACTTCACATTGAGTCGGTAATTACCAAAATTTATTTCTAATGTGTGCTAGTCAATAATGTTCAAATCATGATCTTCAATTTTGGTATCTTCTGACAAAATTGACTCAGTAACACCGGGACATTTTTTCTAATTCATCCAGTAATGGATTTATCCGTCAACCACATTAATATCCATAGAATCAACTAATTAAAAAATAAAGACTCAAAAAAATAGTTGGAAATATAATTTTGTAAATATAAAATAAATAATGAGAATAGGGTCAATAATTTACAGTGGTTTCACTGTAAAACCATCAATAATATAACTAATATTAAAAATTTTAAATTATAATCAGATTATAGAGTAATTACATTACGTTCTAAATACGACAAAGAATATAAATAAATAATAATTACAATTTGTTTTATTGAATTATATGGAATATCTTTGACGCCATGATAATATTACAAAATAATTATAGCGTTGATTTTTAACTTGTATTATTATCTGTTAGAATAATCATGAAACAACAAAAAATATTGTTGAAAAAAAATGTTATCAAACGGTCATTTTTAAGTTGTTATAATTAACAAGCAATGTGGTGGCAAATGAAAAATAAGCAAAAATATGTTTCACAAAATAATCACTATGCTTCAAAGGATTAAATACAATTTATAACGTTCGTTAACAATTATGTGGTATACATTCTTTATTTGTGATATAATTGGAGTGGATAATCTTGAAAGCCAATAGACATGTAGTAATTTAAAAATCTATTATTGATTTGTCATTGTTTAAATTATCAGATTAAAATGAAACTTATTATAAAAACTATCATAATGAATATATTTTTATGGTCCTTTGCATTGTATAGACACAGAAGTCAAAATACTAATTATTAGACATATGCTGAGAATTTTCATTAGCTTACTCGAATTTCACATTATGTTATAGAACATTTTCATGGGTCATATCTATTTTTATTTTATTTTAAGGATTAAATTTACAATATTCATTGATCAAATACATAAATGACAGTATTTTAATTAAAATAAATTTAGTAAATTTGTCTATAAATAATGTAGAAAGCTTATACGATTCCCTTAACCAAGGGAGTCGTTATAAAAATATATTTTGAGAGGGAGGGAAAAATATCAAAATTTGCATAACAATACATAGCATGTTTGTTCTTCTGGACTTAGACATGAAGATAAAAAATAATTTACTAAACTTCTACAGTATTTTTAAGGGAGGAAGTTCATATAATTTATCAATTTCAACACCAGGGGACTTGAAGATAAAAGCTCCATCAGAAGGTTTGGTTGCAAAAATAACTTTAGTTAACTTATTTTTGTCGACTGATCTTTTTGAATAAAATTTATCTTTTAAAAATTGTATAAATTTTTCTTTTATATTTGATGGTACCATAATAACAACACATCCGCCCCATCTATAAATAAATTTCACAATGTTTCAGTTGAAAAAATAGTAGTTTCAGTAAAATTATCTTACCCAGCTCCAGTAAGCTTACATCCATAAGCACCCCCTTGTTTGCAAAGCTCTATTAACTCTTCAAGATCTGATTGACTGCAATCATATAAGTCACGCAACGAAGTATGGCTTAAATTCATAAGCTCTCCAAGTTCTATAGGAGAACACGAATTTTCACATTCTTCACAGAATTTTTCCATTCTTTTGGCCTCTAAAATAAATCATAAAATCAATAAATTTTTATTACTAAAAATGTTTTATACTTCCAGTATAAAATTAGCTGGAAATAAGTACCAATTTTTAAACCTATTAAGACACCATATAACTGTTTATAATTATTAATATTTTTTAATATTGACCACATAAAATGGTAATATTTAATATATAAAATGTTAAAAATTAATAACTTCTTTAAGAATATATAAAAGCAAAATGTTTTATTTTGTATTTTCTGCAATAAAGTAAAAGAAAGAACTTTTTATAATGGCCAAAGTAGTACATACAATTTTGTTATATGCATAAAATATGTTTTTAAAATTGTATCAGCTTATCTTTTTGTTTATTTTTAAAACAAATCATTACGCATAAACAAACAGAACCTTTAAAAACGTGTAATGCTCTTTGATGTAAGTAAAATTCTAAGACGTTTGTTGTATTAGGAGTTAAACTTATTACGTTTAATTCATCTTCCGTGACTGATAGGATTTCACATATCTGTAAAAGTCAAATTCTATTATGAAAACAATTTTCTAAAGCTATATTAAAAAAATATAAAACCTCATTTTTTGTAAATTTACTCTTATGTAAGTGTTGATGTACAAGTTTAATCATTTCATCTAAGGAGTATTTTAATGTTTTTTGAAGTTGAGACAATACAGTTAAATTTTTCCAGTCAATATTTTGACTTTTTGCAATGATCTAAACAAATATTAATAAAATATTATTCACCATAAAACAATTAAAGATAAAATACTATTAAATACATAAAAGAACTTTCACCATGTTAATAAATCAAGACAGATAATAACAAAAATATTGTCATGTATATTTGGTTTACATTAATAAATAATCTAATTGTACCTGAGAAGCCAATCTACATTCTACAACCCTTGTATTAAAATCATTGGATGCTGCTTTATTTTTTATTGCCAAACTTTGAGCTACAATAAATGTAACATCATCAGGAAGACGAAATTGTTGAATTGTTAAAGGATTAAAATTTATGCGCGAAGCAAACCCTGATATTTACAACAATCAACAATAATAATATAAATTATAACAGTTATGAATATTTTCATTAATAATAATGAAGTAACCTTTTTTAGCATGTATAGCTATTGCTTGGTCCATACCACCCCCGGCTGTACCAATATATCTTTCACATTTGGCACTAATTTCTGCTAATTGATGTCGAGGCACAGATACCTAAAATATCAAAATATCACTATTAATACCTTAAAAAATATTTTGAACCAATTGACTATTTTAACTGAGAAAATAAACCTGAAGATTTAGTATGCGATTTGTTAATCATATTACAATGGAAAATTCTATAACGTTTTTAAGAAATATAGATTTAAATGAATGGTTAAAACAGTTAAAATTTTCAAATAGTTACTTATAAGACCTGTGTAGTGTATTTATTGCTACAATATTTTTTTAATATTTTAATAACGACGTTTTATAAATGTTTTTTCAACGTTTTATTAAATCACCCGTATATTAGACATAAGTGGGACGTAAAACTATTTAACAGTTCATGAGATCCAATATTTACTATTATTTATTGAAATTTTAGTGAAACTAACTGCTACTGGTTAACAACTAGCGAAGTTAACTCTACTTGCTTTTTGTGTCAATTAGATTGGTCAGTATAAACAATTTTATACATCATCATAACTAAAAATTAATCACTTGGAAGTAGATAACTATTATTGAGTAAGTCAATTGTATTTTTTACTTATATTTATGGCATCGATTTTTTTAAAACACAAACACTTAAAAATTATTCACTAAATTATAAGTTATAACAGAAGCAACGTCAAAAATAATTAATAATCTTTTCTTAATATAATTTATTCTAATATTGATTTGTATCAGAGGCAGACTGGAAGGCCAACAACTCAACGGTCACAAAAAATATGGCGGTCCTGTTTGCACCAAAAATTGTGTGTATCGTTGAAAAAAAAATTTTTTTTTTAACACCATGGAAATCATATTTTGTTATTATAATTAAAAATCCAACTTACTATCAATTGTCTTTGTCATCAGTGATATATAAGTTGAATCACAATACATCAAAACTTACGTTTATCGTCAAATAAAACGTTTAAAACGAATTTTTTTTTTCAAAAAAAAAAAATATACGATATCAATAATATAGTTAACCAATCATTATACAACGTATAACTTATAACTATTTTTATTAAAACAAAAATAAATTCTTTTAAACGTTATATTTAAAAATAATCTGTGCAAGAAACAAGTAGCAATTTTCGCATATTAAAAACTGCTTATGTTAATAAATTATGTTTCGAATCTCTTTATTGTTAAACGAAAAAAATGAATAACATTTTAATATTAAACATGTTAAACATAGAAATTGTAAAACGTTTAAATATTGAATAACGTTAAATTCAATTATAAAATTACTTTATAATATTTTTAAACGTTTTACGTAAAAATTAACTTTAATCCGACCCCTGTTTATCAACGAAAATTACTATTAAAAATTTAATAGATAATATATATATATATTACAGTTATACATAATTATTTTTTAGATATACCTGGCACAATTACTCTATTCATAGCGACCATCATCGTTCTAATAGATCAGAGGGCAATCATTATTTTGCCCTCGTTGCCAGTAATGTTTGTAAATAAAATTTTATAAAGTTGAATTTTTCATATTTGAATAAGGATAACAAAATCCGTTTTCAAGTAAAAAATACTAATTAGGTATTTAGTAAATAATCTTTGAATAATTAAAGCCCAATCAGATAAATGTTATAATTATCGTATCAATTTAATTATTCCATCAATCTTTTAGGATAATAATTATGTCAGATGTATCGAACATTTCAGCTTAATATTGAACTAAAATTTATCACTGACCCCGTATCCAGCCAAAGTAGAAATTAAAGCAGCTGTAACAAGTGCACTTGAGCTACTTAGACCAGCACTCTCCGGTATGTTTCCTGAAACAGCGAAGAGGAAACCAACGTTTTCGACCGTTTTCAATTGTTTTTCAGTCATATATTCTTGAGCTCCTTTTATACCACAGAAAAAGTAATTTGTCCAGCTTTGACTTTTACCTATTGTAACGGCACTAGATATCAAAACAAATTTTATTTTACGATTAATTTATTAATATTTGTAACTTTTTTAATCCTATTACTCAATATCTGATATGGTTTGGGAAACGTCTTCATAACTCTGCGTATCTGTATTTGTAATTCGAACGATATTATGTCCACTTAATCTTTTTGCTGCAACTATGATACATTGTTTGATTGCCATCGGAAAAACAGAGTACCCACAATAGTCAACATGCTCTCCAATGAGATTAACTCTGCCTGGTACTTTGACATAATACTCGGGTTTACCTTTTTGGAATGTTTGACTGAAATGGTGTTCAAGCTTTAGAATTGAATCATCTTTGTTTGATTCTTGCCAAATGTCACCAGCACTCATACTTGAAATAGATGTTTTAATCTATTCTTATAAAACTGTAATAGTGTTTGGAATATTACGCGAATTACTTTAAAATAAACTTTCATAATAGATTTTCTAAGTTTATAATCCTAGAATACTTAAAACAGAAAAGTTCAATAAGAATTATAATTGAGAGTGTGAATAATTATCAATTTTCTCTATACATTAAATGAAACAAGGGTTTAAATTAAATTTAAAATTAAAAACTTATAAAATCCATGTGAATACGAAAATTCAGGTAAGTTATTATTTGCGTTTATGATGAAATTTATAAACTACATGTATTTATGTTATCAATAAAATACCTAAATATCCAGCTAGAATTTAAACAAATTAATGATAAAAACCAACTAGTTACAACAAAATTTAACGAAAATTTCAAAGATTTTTCAATAGAAAAGGTTATTAAATCTATTAAAATAATACTTTATAACACAAAAAAAAACAAAAATGTGAGAAAAAAAGGCTCAACTTAAGAGTTGATTAATTTATATTTAATAATTGTAATGACTTTCATATAACTAACATTACGTATATTTACATAGTTTCCAAGTTAATTATATTAGAAAAATGTTAGCTTTTTTAGAGTGATATATTATTTACATACTTTTATTTATTTCTGCGAACTATTTTAAGGATCAAAGTGATAGGATATGCGGTTAATATTTTAAGTTACAAAATTTGTTTGTGGTCGTATTAAAAATATTTTATTTTTTTAAATAAAAAATTATTATTTATTTATATTATAAAGTTATTTTTCATTCAAATTTTTATTTTATTTTTAAAATAAAATAAAAATCTAACATTACAGAAAAAATAAAAATTGAATTATATTATTTTTGTATCTATAACAATTATTGAAAACCATTAACATAGATATATTTGTATAATAAGTATGTTAATGGATGTCTGTTTTGAACTAATTTACTTACTTATTAAGCTCAGTATCATAATTTTACGTTATCGAAAGAGTACAGTAATGCAAATATTAGAAGCACTTAATTGCTTTATAAATATTTAGTAAATTTTATCTATATGTGCTAGTTATATTATGCTAATATATGATTAGGAATGGAAGAGAAGTTTATAAAATATTATTGTTAACATTATACACAATATATTACACTGATAACACTAATATTTGTTTGTGAAATATATAAATTACTCAATTCACGAGAATTCTATAGGTAATAGCTGATTTTTAAGGTTACTCTTCAACGACGTAGTTAGTGAAAGAAAACTGTTGATATTATGTCAGTTATAGCAACGACGTTACAAATAGCTAAAATATGAAAAAAGTTGTATATGTAAATTAACATTTTTAACATATTATGATACATGTAAAATAGATTTATCGAATACATCGGTAGCCTAAATACTAACGAATAAAACAGTTCAGCCTATTGGGAAATGGCGAAGATTTTTCATATTTTTCGTTTTTATAAATATTTAATTATCTCCCAACATTTAATTATAATTCCCTTAAACTTTTTCATAAAGTTTTCAATGAAATTCTCAGTAAAATCATAATATGTATCAGAGACTAAAATTTTCCAAAGAGTTATTCTACAATTAGTGTATAAAATAACTTTTATATGCTTTAATATTTTGTGTGTATTGTTTGATTTCTTTAACTTATTGGTAAGTCAACATGAAGACTATTCATTCCAACGATAAAATTGTAACAATGATTTAATAGTTGTTTTATTAATTGAGAATATAATTAAGTTCAAAGTAATATGTAAATAAGTAAATAAATAAGTCGTTTATCACTAATGTTTTAATCTACACATAAGAGAGATTTGTATAGAATTATTCAGTTTAGTAACCTTAAAATTGAAACCAGTGTTAAAACTGATAAAGAGAAATTGTACTTACGTTGCACATCAGAGAGCATCAGCACACACACTCAAGTCAGAAAGGCGCTGCTAGAACGGAAACACTGAATCGGATTCTCATAGATGTGCCGCCAATACCGTTGCCATCGTTGTTCACGACCGTTCGCCCAAAAACGATTTGCAACGCTATACAAAGCAACAGATACGTTTGATATTTATCGGCTATGGTTATGGTGTCACATAGATAATATTTGTTTAATGTGCGCACTGGTCAATCTAAAATGTCCTCGATACTTGATCATTTCAGTTGTGGCATATTACACGTTTAAAATTGAAAGTAATTAACATTTAAAATACATCTCAAGAGAAATCCTACTCATAGATGCGTTATTGACACAAAACTATTTGTAAAATCCCGTTGTTTTTTTTGTTAATATTTATGTGCTTGTATGCGTTACCTCCAGACATGGTGTGAAATTCAAATGTACATATTTGATCGGAAACCGGTTTTGTGTACAGTCAACTCAAAATTCGCACTTTTGATGATAACATCTTATATTATACGTCCATAATTGTACTAAATTGAAAAAAGTAAATTTAATTTATATCCGTAAAATTATTTTTTTATAGGAGGGAGTGAAAACCCTTTACGATAAAAGATTTCTTGGGTGTTGTAATCTCATAAATCGTAGCTTTTTTGTATTAACAATAATAGGATAAATGTGAACTAATGAAAGTACATAAATGAATATATTTTCATTGAGTTTCTTAATATAAAACATGAAAATTATACAAAAATTTTAAATAGAGTATGTCAACAGGGTGGTTACATCCCCTAACCCCTTCCTATTTAACTACTACTGATTAGTATGTTTTAATTAATAAATTAATTATTTTAAATACCTAATTAAAATATTCGCTTTTTGCGAATTAACACATCCTTTATTATTAATCTATATTTTTATGAACACTATTTGTTTCCTAAGACATAAAAAAATTCATTTTTCTTTAAATGAAAACAATCACTAGATATGATTTAATTTGATAAAAATAAAATTTATATAATTCGAGCTGCTTTTTTTTTGATAATTAAAGCAAGTATTCAATTTTTTAGCATAATAATACATTTTATGTTGAAATAAAAACTCTAGTATTACGTTAAATATATTTACATTTTATTTAAACATCTACAAGTCTAAAGCACAAGTATTACAAAAATATCACAGTTGCTCTATCATTGTCATATTTTTATACTTATTTTGTAATGCTTCCCATAAGCTGAGTAATAAAATAATCGTAATAACCTTCAAAAGTTTTAAATTTTTACAAAAACAATGAAAATGTTTGACTGATAAAGTGAAACAGATACATATTATCGAACAATACGAATTTTACACATCTATCACATTATTATCATAAAATATTTAAAAACATTAAGGATTATTTTTATGTTTTATATAAATGTTATTTATTTTTTACTTCGAAGACATTCTTATAAAAATATATTCCGTCAGCAATATACATATGTATTAAACAATTATATTTTCAAAATGTGAAAAAAAATCAACATTTTTTATTATCTTTGATTATTTCAGGTTTGTACTCAAATTGTAAAAGGAATTAAAATATATTAAAATAATCCTTAATTATAGGCATGTAATGATTTTCTTTACTAAAACGCTTGAGTTAAAATCTCTAAAACTTATTTCTTAAAGTTGCACATAATTAGTCTAACAACATCAACTATTGATTACATCAAAAAATTTTATATTCGATAAAATATGGTTTCCGTGTAGTAACAACTGCTCTTTTAAGACATCTTCGGCGATTGGAGTTACCAAGTTTAAAACTAATCGCTTGTTTGAATTTAAAACATTTGAGGCTGTTTAAAATATATAAAAAAGGAATTTAAATAATTTCAATTGGCTTAAAATTTGCAAATATTTTAAAAATTATTTGATAAATAATTTTTAAAAAATCATTATTTTATATAAAACAATTTTTTTAATTATATTAATCTGAAAATATAAAGTGGTCTCTATAATGTATTAAACTAACTGTAAATATAACATTTCATTTATTCAATCAATTTGATTGACTAAATTAATATTTTATAATAAAATATACATATTTAATATACAAGTGTTGATTAATTATTGTAAATTATTTGATCACTAATATATTAGGAAGTTTTAGAAAATTGTATAGCAAATATATTCAAAAGAAAAAAAAATATATATTTTACCAAGTGATGATGATATTAATGGTTCAAGCATACGAAGGTCAATGTCTCCAAATTTTAAATCTATATTGATATGAATCAATTGTACTTTATCTTTGGTAATTTCAGTATTTCCGTGCAAGAAAACTGTAGCATTATCTAAAATTGATTACAGCATTTAGTGGCTAACTATTTTAGAATTTTAGATAGAGTAAAAAAAATTGTTTAATTACATTATTAACAATTTACGATTACACAAAAATAAATTATTAATTAAAAAGAATCAATTACTATAATATTTGAAGTCTAGAGTTAAAGTGTAAATTATTTATGGGTAAGACAATTGGACTACAACAATTCCCTATAACATTAATTGTTTTATGATTTCTTTATTAATGTAATTTTTTTTGAAACAAAGAGATTAAAGCTAGTCATATAGTTCATCTATCTATCAGAACCAATTTATTAGACACAAAATTTTTATTGTAATGTTTTTTGATTTAGGCTACATATCCACAAATTGTAAATTTGTTTTAAAGATAATTAAAAATAAGATTTTAAAATATTTACACAAAATTCCTTCACAGCGCCCCGTTTCTAAGGTATGCACATTTAAAGCATTTTGTATTGTATTTAATTTGAAGTTGGTGGTAAAATTTATAAGTGGAATATTTACAATAGCTTCTAAAGTTTTTTCTTTTAAGTTGAGCCTTAAAAATAAAATATTAATGATAAATTATATTAATTATGTAAAAATATGATTTCTATATTTATGTAAAAAATTTCAGTGTTTGAATGATAATTATTTTACATCACATACTTGAGTAATTTCACTATTATAGAACTAATTCCCCTAGCATCTAAATTTGATAAATTTCCTTTTATTATAATATCTTGAATAACTCTATGAATTTCTATTTGATTAATCTGTAAAGGATCAAGAGATGGTAAATGTTTAGCTGGATTGCCTGTAAAAAATATAAAACTAATTGATTATTTGTAAATACTTTTAAAAATTTAAGCTTATATTTAATGTCCTCTCACGTATGTTACTAGCTGTGTTAAAGAAGACGAAACAGAAAGTACAGTTCGATGGAATAGAATCGAATATGTACACACTAAGTCACAATGCGTTACTGATCGAACTATAAAAACAGCCTTTGATAATTCAAAACAAAAATTTAAAGTTTATAACATTATAATTATAAAATTTATGAACAAATTTATTTTTTATGAAAAGCAATAAAAAATTCTTATCAAAAAAGAGGAAAATACAACTGAAAATTATAAACATTTGAACATTAAATACCAAAAAAACGTGAAACATTAAAAATATTACCGTTAAAATAACATTAAACGTGCAAACTTAATAAAATTATACGTAATTTAAAATAATGTAAAATTAAGATATAATTGAATTCATTTTATACAAAAATATAAAAATAATTAAAATCTGGCATATAAGAAAAAAATCAAATATATAAAATTTACAAATGAAATAAGGCTGAAATATCAAAAATCATTTAACGAAAATAATAAATAAGGATACAAAATGAAAAATGCAAATATTGAACAACGTTACAATATCAAACAATGAAAAATATAATTTTTTTCTTCAAATTTTATCCTGCAAAAAACGTAAGTTGAAAAAATAAATTTGGTTCACCTTGAATAATCTGCGTTTTTAATTGTTTTAAAATATTTAGCAAACATTGATCTAACTCTGGATCATTTTTATGGCACTTATTGATTCCGTCTAAAATTTATACCAGGTAATAATCCAATATATTATACATTTAAAAAAGTTATAATTCAGTAAAAAATAAACTTACTAATTTGCGGTTCACCAATAGTGTAGTCTAATAAAATATAACAGATTACAAGTTTGATAAAATTATTTATAGCAAACATTTCTGAAGAAACAAATAAAAGGTTTAACTAATAAATGGATATTCATATGATAGGTTCGTAGGTTTTGTCTTTCTATTTAACGAATCAAATTTAGAATGTAAAAATACTACCTATTGCAATAGGATTTGTGAAAATTTTCTTAACGACAATTCGGCGAAATTAGTTTCAATTCCACTTATCATTATGATTATTAGACAAATTATAATATATTTAGTGGTCGGTGATAATTATTTTTGAAATTTTCATGCATTTAAAAACACTTAGGTCAAGTGAAATTAAAATTCAAAAGGTGTTTATTCAAAGAAGAATCTATATTTTACTGTTGTAACATTTAAAAGTAATGATTAGTAAATGTCTAGTGGTTAATTATAGACAATTAAATTATATTGAGAAATTTTTAAAAACAGAGAGCCAAGTAAATAAAAGTTCATAAAGAAAAATAATTTAAAGGGACTTCGATTCCTAAAATTTTATAGCATTTTTAAAAATTAAGTTAAAGAGTATGAATATACAATATATAAAATAACACAAAGAAATTATTTTTCCATGGTTGGGGTTTATTTATGATGTTAAAAGTAGCCTTTAAATATTCTTATTATAAGTCAAGTTTATCAATCTATCCAAAGGTCAGATTTTTAACAGTAAAATTAAACTTCTAATATATTTTTGTAGGTAAAATTTTTAATATAAAATTAGAACCTTTTCGGTAAAATGATTTTGAGATAATAATAATAGAAAATTGATATTATTTGTTTATATTTATTTGCCATGTATATTTTAGTATTTTAAATTTAGGATTTAAGCTGTAAAAACTAATGTATAACATGTTCATTGCGTGTAAACATATGTAACCATTGCTACATTTTCATATTAATGTTTCATATAAATAAACAACTAAAATAAAAAATAAGACTTAATATTAAAATATTTTATGGTAAAATTTTTCATATCAATTTTTATTGAAGTTTTTAGATCGATTACTACATTTTAATAATTTTTCGACAATTTATAATTTTTTATTGTAGGTATTTTATTTTTACAGAACATTAGAGTTATAAGTAATAAAAGGAGCAATTTACAGCATTATACTAATTATGAAGTTTTGGGAAGTCCATAATATATTCCTAAAAAAATGTAGAACACACAAAAATATGTTGAGTTTACATAATACACCTGAATTTCTACACAATATATGTATATTTTAGTTTCACAGCACAAACCCTAAAAAATACCATAGATCTCAAATACAAGGACAAAATATTAAATACCTAATATACATCTTTTAATGGTGAAAGGTATTTAACAGTTAGGTTTTTGGAACCTATGTACTGTAGTTTTAGCCCGGTTTAATTTATTTACACCACATTATTGAATTATTTTAAGGTATAATGAAACCGTTTTGACCAAAGAAATTTATTTCGATTGAAGTTGTCTTATCAGAGGAATAAACGGCTAGACATATAATGAGCCAATGAGTTTGCCACATTAAGTACTGTAAATAGATTATCTAAAATTAATTATTTGATTATTTAAATAAACAATAGTATAATATCATATAATTAGATATTCACATAGTAATACAAAAGTATTATAAATATTTAAAAAATTTATAATTTTAAAAGAAAAAAATTATTATTCGAGTTACATTAAGTTGTTTTAAATATTTTTATACATAAATTATAAATATTAAATTAAAGTATTATTTTACTAACATTTATAAATTCTTTGTTAGTTAATTCAATAAGTCATTTTTTGTTTTTTAATGTTTATTGTTAATAAAGTATTACTATTTTTACCAATTAACCATATGTAGATAATTCAGAGACTTAATATTGATAAAATAAATTATATGTAATTAGTATAACATAAAAGTGAAACAGTGGTCAAAAAATCTATAAAGTACAATGTTGTGTATTTACTTAAAAAATCAAATTTAGAGCCAGCGCTAGAAATTGTGGTGTCACGTACAAAATGACTATGCCGAGCTCTTAAAATATTTTTTTATAAAGAAAAAAACATTTTTTTAATTATTTAATAATTTGCGGCGCTCTTTAAAACGCAAGGGGCATATTTCTAACACGCTGGTTCTGATCAAAATAATACTTTTTAATGTTATATCCTTTATATTAAAATATTCTAATGTTTATATGAACAAATTATTTATAACAAATTATAAAATCCATGCTAATTACACCGTACAACAACTTTTTGATTTCAAATTTTAATGTTTTATTAATTTTGTTCATGAGTACAAAATAAAGAATTGCTTTCATTGCTACAAGGTCAACGTAAATTGAATCAATAATACAAAAATAATCAATACATTTAAAAACTTAATTCATCGATATGCAAAATAACAATTTTTTTAGACTATCAAGTTCGTTAAATAATAATTTCATTATTATATTATTCCACGCGTACTTTGTATTAACAGTATATAATAGATAGGATATTTCTCTTCGCCCTTAATTTTTACAATACATTTTTTGAAATAAAGTAATCATTCTGATATTTGTATTGAAGCTGAGTCTCAAATTTATTTGAACACGGAAAAAAATGTTAGATTTATGAAACATGATTTTCAGCTTTTTCGACCATACTTAATTTTATATTATATTATATTATTTTTGTTGTTAGGTAAATTTAATGTAAATGAACTAAAATGAAGCATACCGGATATCTGTTTTTGCTGTAGTTATCAGCAATTAACTGATTGTTTAGAAGGTAGACGAATATTTGACTTGGGTAAATAAAGGAAGTTTTAAGAAAAAAATGGGTTGGAACCTACTATATAAGAGTAAGATGCTACTGTTTATGTCACAATTTAAACTTCAAAGTTAACTGAAATATAACGTGTGTAATCTATTATTAAAGATATGTTGGCTAATGTACTTTCAGTTCTATATTTGGCAGTTTTTGTATTAGCTGTCGAAAATAATGATGATAATTTGTTACCGAACGAACGTGAATCAAAGGGTGAGTACATTCTATTTTGTCTTTTATTTTTTAAAATATTTTTTGATTGATTGCAAATGTAATTTCAAATTTTGTGTTTTTTAGCATGGAATATTCTAGACGGAACAAAACGCAATTGTATGGGATTAAATGGGAGATCGGGAGTATGCACAACACAAGAAAAATGTACAGAAATTAATGGAAAAACAGTAGGAAGATGTTTTCCATTTGATACTTGTTGTTCAGGTTCGTTAGTTCATATAATGTACGAACATTAATAACACTTAATAGTACTTGATTTTTTTAGTTTTTGTTTTACTTATACGAAATAATATTTCGTATAGAAACAGATATTGTTTGTTTCTTATATAATATAAAAAAATCTGTAAAAATTGTGATATTTTTGAAAACTAAATAACTTTTTTTTACGTAAGAGAAAATAGCAGTTTTATTTCAAATATTTCACCATATTATTACATTTTAAATTCAATTCATAGCACCATTGAATTCTTGTGGAGGATACTCAGGATCAAGCACTATATACTTTCAAAATCCAGAAACATTTCAACAAAGTTGTACATACAAGGTAAACATCAAGAAAAATGTGTGTCAATTAAGGTAAGTTAGACATAGCTACATATGAAAAAAAAAAACTAATTAATCTTTTGTTGGAAAGAATCGACTTTGAAAGATTTTCTTTGAGTCAACCTACGACATCTAACAACAGCACAGCTTATCAATGTGACACCGACCAATTTACTTTAATTTCTAGTGATAATACTAAGTTAAACATTCCTATTCTATGTGGTGAAAACTCTGGTCAACATGGTAATACAATCAAAAATATTTTTTTAAAAACCAAAAATACTCATCAAATTTGTTACTTTTTAATTTAATTTCTAGTTTATGTGCCACTTGAGTCAAAAACAATATTGGATTCTAGTACCATCAATAATATAAACATTTATAATAGAGTGAAATCGCAAATCACACTGAAATTTCAATTGACTGCTCGTGATGAAGATAGTACTGATTCTGAACCGACATGGAAACTGAAGATTTCGCAAATTGAATGTCAACCAAATTCGATGAACTGGTGGAAAATTAAAGATATGGCACGTCAGGTTTGGGATTGGGAAGACGAAGATGATAAGGACATTACAACACCTAAATACGCTCTAGGTAAGTGTCTTACAAATTGTTTTACTCCAGCTTATAAATGTAATGTAATATATCTTAGCACCCGAGGGATGTTTACAATACTTCACCGAAAAAACTGGTACGATTGAGAGTTTTAACTACAACAAGGGACTTGGTCACTATACAGGTGGTTTAAATTACGCCATTTGTTTCAAACGAGCCTCCGACACGTGTGGTATTCGGTAATAATTATAATCATTATTATTTTTAAATTAAAATAATACAAGCGTATAAAGAAAAAAGAAATTTTCATCTGAACTTATAACAAAAAATAATTTATTAAAAACAATGGTGATATTCATATGACATAGTATTAATAAATTTAGCCAGCCTCTTTTTTTCTATTTAAAAACATTCAGATTATCAAACTATAATACAATTTAACGAAAATTGCATTTTGAAACGTGGTTTCCTAAATTTATTCAGTTACTTTATAAATTTAGTGATACTACAGTATTGTTTAAGACTTATGTCTTTATTGAAATTATAAGTCTAAAACAATTATGTTTTAAAATCAATTTTAGATTAAAACCAGTTAAATTTCAATTGGCCTACAATAGTAAACAATACAATTCTGTGGATCGAGACTGCGATACGGCAGTAACCACACAAGATGTCACAACAGAATCAATAACAACAGATGCAGCTCAGATAATGAGAAGATTAAGAAGAGCCGTGACTGTCAGTGACGATGGCGTACACAATGACTACCTGCTCATACCTGACGGCAAAACATCAACCGGCATTTATGGGTCTAAATTCTGCGACAGTGGTTTAAATGGATCTGGAGTGATAGGTGACATTTTTATAAAATTAAATAGACTTTCAATTTCTAATAAATTGTGCTTCATTTTTTAGCAAAAGCCCATGGACCTATAGCAATATCTTTTGTCAGTGATGATATTATTGATCCTGATGAAGATGTTGAAAAAGGATTTAAAATTAATTATTCATTAATGAATACCGGATGTTAAATTGTATTAATTTTTAATATAATTTTATGTATCAGCAATTATTTTTTTTTATTAAATGATTTTGTCGAACAAAAAATACCAAGTTTTAATTTCCGATAGTAATGAGTGTCATTAAAATTATATTAAATATAATAATATCTCTGTACTTAAAACTGGAAGTTAATATATACTGTCAAATAGCATTCTCTCACATTAATTTTTAAGTATTAATAATTAGTTTATGGTAATAAGTATATAAGTATAAGTTATTAAAATTAAATTAAAATTATTGAATAATTGGAAAATTTTTTTATTTAATTTTTAGTTATATCCTTTTCTATTTTATAAGTTAGTTAAATAATAAGAACACGGACCATTCAACCTATATAAAATACTTAATTATCTATTTTGCCATTAAAAAAAATAAATTTAACACCTTTGTGTGGTATAAATGATGGACTACAAAAGTATATAATAATTGTAGCTTAAAAAGTATATGTAACTAAATAGTCAATAAAAATATTTGTTGATTTATGACTTAAATGGTTATTATTGATATTATAATGATATCATTTTTATTATTATATAGATATCATAATTAATTAAACTTAAAGCCATGTTAACTCTAAAAATTTGGCATATATATTTTCTTAAGTGATACTTCTGCAAACAATTACGCAAGACTAAAATATACTAATGTATAATTTTTTATGTAGATATATAATATTTAGTTAAACAAAGTGTCAAAAAATTAGTCACTGTTAATTTGGTATAATTTTATAACAATTTTTAAATTTAACTAATGTAATATGAAATATATATAAAATTTTGGACAATTTATTCTATTGCCATTTACATAATTTTGATTATTTTATAGAAATTTATTAAATACGTGTATATTATAGTGTCAATTATAGTGTTTATTTTTAAAATAATAAGAATATATTTTTTTTAAATATTATAACAATAAGTACAGATCATAGAATTTCTTAATATATTATTAGAATTTTTATATAAAAAAAAAAATTTGAAGAGTAAAATGAATAACATTTGCTCGTTATTTATTTTTCGATATAATAAAATAAACACATCAATAAATTACTATACATTATTATAATAACAAAACATTTTTGTGAAATAATTTTATAAATAATACAATATTATGGCTAGCTTTATTTAACTTAAATTTTGAAAAAGGCAAATTAACTTTAGTAACATTTAAAACAACCAATTAGATAACTACATTTTATTAACTCTTAAATCGTAATGTTCTGGTTTGATGTCTTGGTCACATATAATTTTCCTTGTTGAAATAGCGAATGCGTCATATCAAAATCAATATTTTGAAATATTTTGGTGACGTGGTTAACAAAAACAGCAGCTCGTACAAAATTTTGATTTAAATATTCAAGTGGAATGTTTTTTATTTGTTTATAATCCGTCGATAGGTCGTTTTCTTTTGCAAAAATCAAAAGATTATCGTATAGTTTTGGAAGTTCTTTAGAATTTATAATATTCTCGGTAACTTGTAAATCTTTAAAGTTTAGAGCCATCAAAACCAATGCTGATTTTATAGTGTCCTCTAAGAAAACTATACTATTTACCTTAACATTGCTATTTCCTTTTAAAAGTCCAACGATATTTATTATTTCATATTCGCTTGTTAGCCCTTGTATGCCAGTATTTTTAAAAAAATTTACCCAAATTGCGACCAAGTTACGACTTAATTTAGTAACGTAATCATTTACGATTAACTTTTGATCGTCATTAGAATATTCACTATGATTTTTTATTATATCGTTAAGCAATAATACGTGTGTCCAGGTTATTCTCAACATTATAATCTTCAACATTGCTTTATACTTGTCGTGATACTTTTTAATTCTTTCGAATCCATCGTGTAAAGACATGGGATTACCTTTCGCCTGATTAAATGTCTTTCGTATTTCATTTGTCACTTTATTCCATTCGATATTTGAGTCATAAATTTGTAGATTGTTCAAAGTGACTTCATCAATACTCGCATCATTTAAATACAAGCATTGCAAATGTATAGTTTTTGTATTTCTCCATCCTACTTCAATTAATGCGTTCGAGTTCATTATCTTACCAACCTCTAATTCATATTCTGTCAGAAGTTGTTCGGCTGCTTCATATTTATTTTCTTCTGGTATATGGTACACTACTTGAAATTTTTTATACCAGTACGATTTATCAACATTTGCTATAAAATATTGATGTCGCTCTCCATGACATTTTCCTTTACTACGTTGTAGCACATCAATAACAGTCATACGCATATTGTTCAATCTTTCAATTAAATAATTTCCCCTGATACCGTTATTCCAAATTACTTCAAAATATATCTTAAGCTCACTTAAGTACATATATAACAACCACCATTCGTACAATGAAGTGTTACGAATATTGTATAGAATGATCAACATTAAACGAGCTTGAGCAGTGAATGACATTACTCGATCCACGACCGTTTTAATTCTATTTTCATCATCATTTGCCTTTAGTAATTGCCCACTAATTGTTAAAAATGACACCGCTATAAGTTTAAAACTACACATAATATTGTACTGCCTATAAATTGATAATAATTTTATATCATCTTTTCCAAGATTAGGTGATAAATTCTTATTGTTACATTCGTCTTCAAATCCAGTTTCGACTTTGCACAGCATTTCATAGGTTGATTTATACTGAAAGTTTTCAATTAATGGGTCACTATTTACAAATTTTAGTAAGACACTAGTAAAAACTATCAACGTTTTAAGGGAGGACATTCTTGCTTTCAATAATTCAATTTTAAATCAAAAAATTTAACAGAAAAATATAATAAAAAGTAAAACTTGACAATATTTATACACATATTTAGTAGAGTAATAAATTATTCAATTTATTTTATGAGTAAGTAGATATTCGAAAAGAAATAACACATTTTTATATGGTTTTTAAAGAGCGTCATTTAAAATAATAGTAAAATTATTAGTTATATACATCATGAAATAATTTTTTCATTTTGATTTTGCAGTTGTCATGAAATGATTTATTAATTTTTATTAACATCTTTATGAAACATGATTTTTATTAATGCTGTGATTAATTTTATTTTTGAAATCGAATCGAATATAAATAATAATGTGTAAATATTTAATAAAAGTATAATTAATGAGATCATTTTACTTTGTCTATGGAAATGAAGTACGAGTAGCCCTAAGTTCTTTATATTATAATCAAAACTAATATTGAATGCTTTTCATACTTAGGTGTATTAAATTCTAAAATGACCAATTTTTTTGAATCGCAAAGAAAAAAATAATATTTTTGTAAAAAGGGTGATTCTTTTAATTTTAACCACTTGATTACTCTTAAAATAATATTTATACTAAGAAAATCCCTTTAATGTTATAAGCGTGTTAACTTTACTATTTTTAAATGGCAACATACACATTACTCTAGTTCATAAAATAAAAAATGAAGAAAATAATTAGTCAAAATTAATTTTTTAAATAGTACTTCAGAACTTATTAACATTTTTAAATAAAGAGTGGAGGAAAAGCGCTAAGTAATTAGGCTGAGTAATGTCTACTGATAAACATAACATAACTTACACTTCACCTCCACACTATATTTTAAATTAGTTATAACTTCCAAAATAATGAGTTATTTAGTTCATTTTTTAATTTAATAAGCTAGTTAAATATGTATGTTGCCGTTATAAATTAAACTTGGCACACTTATATGGTATAAAAAATGAATAAATTTACCAATTTTAAAAACCTACATTTTTTTGAGTATTTCCCTTATTTAAATGGAACCAAAAAATGATTTTAATATTGAGGGGTAATGTCTTCAACTAGATAATTATCTAGAAAACTAGATAATAAAGTTATATTATTTATAATTATAATACATGAAAAGTATTTATTTAAGTACTTTATTATAGTATGATATTTATATTTAATTTAGTATTGTAATTTTACGGGGATATTATAGAAAGTTATAAAATAATTGTACATATAATTTTTTTTGTGAGTTCTGTCGTCCATTTATGAGAAATAACTGATTTTTTTCAATTTTTGAAGGTTGTGATCTTTTGACTTTTCGTTGAAAAAATCAAAAAGCTAAAAAAAGTGGCAATAGGCACAAACAAAATTTTTTTTATCGTTTCAATAGTTAAATATTATGATTACATTTTAATATTTGTGTTTATTTTAAAATGTTTCAATAATTATCATCATTCAATTCATATTCATTATAATCCATTAATGTGTTGTCAATTGAAAATGTGTTCTTAAATAAACTATTAAAATGATCAAAACAAATGTCTATAAGTACTTTTTTAACATGATTTGAAAAAATTATGGCTCGAATATTATTCATTTTAATTTCAGCAGTGACTTTTTTTTCTTCATTATTTTGTGTTGTTGGTATTTTATTGTTTGATGCGAAATTATTTATAGTATCGTTGATGCTTGGTAGAGAAATTTTGTCATAGGGATTTAGAATGGCGTTAAAACCGCGAAATTTATTTGAAATATTGTCCAATAATCTATTTATAAAATTTATTAAAATATCATTGTCCATTGCAATGTAGTCTGTTTTATTCTTGAGCACATTAATAATTCTTAAAATATCATTATCATTCTTTAAACCAGTCGCAATAACAAATGTTGATAAAGCATCAATCATACCATCGTTATATTTTTTGACTTCAATCCTCGGGCCAACATTTATCACATCAAAAACGAACTTCTTTTCTTCTAAAACAGACTTCAAAAGAAGGGCATGTGTCCACGTTATTCGTAACATTACAGTTTTTAATATGTTTATAAATATCTGATGATACTGTTTAATCCATTCAAAACCATCGTACATTATAATTGGACTATGTTTTGCCATTTTATAAGCTTTTTTCAAGTTTAATTTTGCTTCGCCCCAAATGATATTCGGGTCATACATATTCATTAGAGTATTTAATAGCTCATCTTCAAGTGCCACGTTATTAAGATAAAGTTTATTGAACGATATTATAAGCCGATTTTTG